TAAAAGAAAATTTATATGTGTTTTAGATGAGAATTGGTCTTTTATTTTAATATTATTCTATTTTTTATTTTATCTTCTTAATTGTTATATGATATGGTAATTCACTTATGAACTGAAAAATAAACAAAAAATATTAAAATTTGAATATTAAATTATTTTGGCTAGTGCTATAATATGTTAAAAAAGATAAATAAAACAATAAAATATTATTAAAAATCAGTTAATATGAGAAATGCTGGTGGAATGTCTAAAGTTGACTATTGATTAATCAATATATGAATATATTCCACTTTAACAAAACACAAAATTTTTGTTTTTTAGTTACTATTGTAAAAATGCTTTAAGAAAGAACTAGAAAACTAAGAAACAAAAAATAAGTAAATTTTATATTATTTAGCAATTCATATAATTTTACTTAATCCAAATATTGAAATTTATTAAGTTTATTGTTATTGAATCTAAATATTAGTTATCAATTTTCAACTTTTATTTAAATGTTTTCTTGCAAAACACTTTTAGTAAAAGATATATGTAATTAAACATAGTAAGGCTTGAAAATATTTTTATATTACTTAATATATCAGTTTTAGGTTTATTTAATTTTGACAGCAATAAACTTTTTAGTAACTATTAACAATCACATAACATATTTTTTTTTTTTTAGAGTGGAACGTGCACAAGGCATGTAATCTTTATTGATACATTTAATATCCAGATAGACACCAAGTGTCTCTACAAATTAACTGGAAATCGGTTGATACAGGATACCCATTATGTCTCTACAGTTAATCTGCAGATTAACACTGTATTAGTACATATATTGCTATAAGACTAGTTACGCCAACCACTATAATCCAACTATGCATTCATTTAAATACCTAGAGATGTGTCCATATATCAGGTGGGACTTTCCACAGGGGGAGGAATCCTACCACTAGTTTAAACCTGCCTAAACCTACTAAGTTCATATTGCAGAGAGCAGTGTAATATAGTATGTTATTATAGAGATTAACCCCAGTCATTCCAATCATCTGTTATTACTGATCCTCGGGATGTGTCACTAGCATAGCATAACACTACCGTTTTCACCACCTGTGGAACTGGTGTCCTTGCTTGGATTCTGATTTAATCTTGACGATCCTCACTAGATGCACTTGGTCTTAACAATTTTTGCCTGGATTGTTACCTCCTGTGACAGATAATCTTTGCTCTTTCAGTCCAATTTAAATTCATATGAACACCACTCTAGGAATAGATCCTCAAGCTCCAGATTGGGATAGATCAGTTTAGGATTAACCTCTTTTGGGTTGTGTGACGGAGTCTGCCGTCGTCAGTTTGGGTTGAGATTTTGTAAGCTTTTACCGAAGTTAGACCAGAAGCCTTTCCTCATGCAACCTTCCGTGCTTCGACCTGTTTTCAGCCTGCGATCGTCGGGAAGACCAGAGGTCCCATATTCATGCAACCTAACTGAATTTGGACAATCACATAACATATTATCGTTCATGCAATTCAAAAAAATATATGTATTAAGAAATTTTTGGGTAAAGATTTTTGAAGATTTTCAAGTATTGACCTCTAAAACAAAAATTTATATATTAATCTTTGGAGATCTTTGATTTTTTTTTAATAATAATAAACTATATTTATATTTGCATATTTATTATAATTTAATAAAATTCAATTTAAAATATTTAATTGACTTATAAAATTATTTTTATTATTATAAAATTTTTGTTTATATTCATTTATTTGTTTAGATCTTTACTTATTGCCAAAGTCTTTCTTTTTAATTTTCTATTTTCTAGTAATAGTCTTGGATTGTTCTCAGTATTTTCAAAGTCCTTTAGAGATTCTTCTATAGTAATAATTTGTAGATCAGTTATTTCTTCATCTTTGCTATTTGAATTTTTTTCTTCAAATCCAAGTCCTTTTTTAATTCTCTCCTAAAAATATTATTAACAATAATTTATAATATTTTGACTGGTTGCTTTGATCTTAGTGAATATTGTTTGTCCTTGTTTTTCTTTAATAATTTTTTGGATTAAAGTTTTTATTATCCAGTTTGTACTCTTATATACTTGATAGCTTCTTTTGTCACTTTTGTAGATTCTTTAGATGGCTACCTAATTGTTTGTATATATTTCAACTTCTGTCTATATTGGAATTGTAATCAACATAATTAGAATTGCTATTAGTTTTGCTTTTATCGATAATGAAAAATACTTTATATGTCTTGTATATACTAATTTCTTTTCTGTTTTTTAATTGGTTATATTATTTTACTTCTATTTTGGTTCAGTTTGTTGTTTTCTAAATCATTGAGTTATCTGTATATGCTTTTATTCTTTTTCAGTTTTCCATCTATTTGGCTATTTTGATTAGCTTATCTTTGTTTAAGCTGCTGATTCATAAGTATTTTGTAATTTTATCTTCAATTTCTATCTGTTTTTCTCCAATTATGACTCTAATTCTTGTTTGGATCTTGTTTTTCTTGTTTTATATATTGTACATTATTGTATCTAATAATGTTTGTATTCTATCAATATTTCTTAGGATCTGGCTGTGAAGCTTTGTGCTGTATATGGTTTTGGTTATTAGAATGATTATTGCTTGGTTTACTCTTATTTCTCTGATACTTTTATCTTTTGTGTTGTTTCTGTAATCAATATTTGAAATTTTATATTAATTGAATTATTATTTATTAAATTATAATAATAATAAAAAAACAAGTTTTTTTGTTACACATTGTATATAATTAAAAATAATATAATATAATTATAATTATTAATTATAAAATTTTAGAACTATATTTGAAAAAATGGCAAAACTTATATAACTAAATTAATATTATTATCAATTAATATTTATTTGTATTTTTTATAAAATTATGCAGTACTGACTATAAATTAAAAAAAAAATTTTTATTTGGTATTTGAGTAATCAAAATTATATTTCCAAAAATTTTTTTATATTTATTTAATGCCGCAATTAAAAATATAATGTTTGTATTTTTAGCAGCTGATGTTTGATCATACATTCATAAAGAAAAACATCCTTTATATAAATTCAATAATGCAACACAAGAAATGGTAAACAGTATTACCAAATAGGATGAAACTAGTCCTTTCTGCAGCTATGTCAACAGAAAATGATATTAAAGAAAATACTATAAAGTATAAATAAACATCGTTTGGAAAATATCAAGGACGCTGGATATATCCTATTTTCAAAATTGAGGGTAAATGCGATAAAGAGATCATATTTTAGGGAAAATAAATTACAGAGTGGAAACCTGTTGTGCAAAATTATAAAGTAGATAGTTGTTGGAAGTGTTGGAGCATAATAGAAAAAAAAATGCCAAGTCCAGTCCTATATAACAAATTGAACATTGTGCTCAACTTTTTTTACAATTTCTCAAGTTTTTCCATCATCTTTCCCTTTTCCACGTGATGAAATACCGTTGTTAAAATGTCCACCACGATTGCCCCTATGCAAAAATCCATTTCCACCTCTAGAATTACCATTGAACCCATTTCTATAGTTATTGTGAGGATAGATTGGGAGCTGTCCACTCATAAATTTGTTACCATGCGCCTGTGGTGAAGAACGTGGTCGAATTTGAATAGGATTCGGTGATGAAGGTGCACCCATCGATATATAACTATTCACAACACCATTATTTCGAAATCGACCAGGATTCATAATTTGTCTCATGTGTTGCGGACCGTTTGTTCCGTGATTCTGATTAGAATGCATATTACTGCTACCTCGACCGCCACCTCCACGACTATGATAATTAGATGAATGATAAATGTTATGATGACCATTCTGCATTGATCCTTGAGTTCGTGATTTATGGAAATGGTTTGGTCCTTGTTTTGAACCATTTTTTCGGGAGTCAATAAATTGTTCATTAGTCAAGTTGAGCAGAGCGGACCCGGGTACAGTCATTCCACGAAATGGTGAACATCTACAAGAAAGAATAATTTATTCTTGTGGAAACAACATTTTAAAAACAATCGGGAATGAAAACTAACCGATCTCCCAGAGTAGAGCCACTCATGAAAGAGGAATCAAATATCACGTCTATATTTGTTTTCTCAATACCGATAACTGTACCTTTGGCTGCAATTGGCACACTTCCAGAATCTTGAACAAAAATGACACGATCCCCTAGTTTGAAATTTTGACCTTGTAACCGTGTAGATGCATGTTCAGGCTTAAGTAACACCTTATAAGAAATGAATATATATTTCAGTTTTCCATTTATTTTGAACAAACATATATATGTTTGCAACATACATGTCGTGGAACATTTTTCACAATAAGAGTTTTGAAAGTCAAGTTTTTATGGAACTCATCAGCATCTCTCTCAATTTTCGCAATAGCTTCCTAATATGGTTTGATTATAAATATACATTAAATTTTACGCAAAAATAACAAGAAGTTAATTCGCCCACCTTATCTAATTGTTCCGCTTCTAATGGAACCTTTTCAAGATCCCTTACTTCAACAGTCTTGAGCCAGTCTTTTATAACACGTATTTTTTCCACTGCTTCTTCCTTTGGATAAAAATCTTCCGCAGAATAAATTTCTAATGTAAAACGACGTTAGATCTATTTAAAAAAAAACCTAAAGATATCTGCTCGTCGAGCAATTTTATCACCTTCTTTGTGCTTATTTTCTAGCGCTTGAATAAATTCTGGGAACTTTTGCTATTTTTGACACAATAATTTATCTTGGAACCTAATATATATCAATGCATAAAAAGATGCCTCACACAACGAACCTTATATAATGACAAAATATTCATTGCCTTCTCACTATATTCCCACCCGTCCTTTGACTTTCTAGTATAACCCAACACTTTTTGTTTTTTTGTTTCAAACTTTAAGTCCAGGCCAAGATTGATCCGTTGATCGGTTGACTTGCAGATCACATGCAAACTAGAAGCCAATTTGCTTAAAGTCAACCCTAATATTCCCAACTTCTTTGCTACAGTATAGGAAGGAAAATATTTCACACGTTCCAAAAATTCCTGCGCAACTTTTGCACCAAAATCAGGTTCTCCACGATTAGACGTAGTGGTAATCTTTTTTAATATATACATACATATATATATTGATACATAATTGACGATTAAGATTAAAGGTCTGATTTAATTTTGCTTTACATACCAACTTCACCGCTAAATTATTTTCTGTATTTGCGATAACTTGTCCAGGGCATCCATAGAACGGATTGCCTAAAAAGAATATCTTAGTCCCGTACGGAAACTCTTCTGAAATTGGAATTGCTGGCTTCTCTTCGTATCGAGGGTCCTCACATTCTACGCTTTCCACAATTGTCTGAATTGCATAATCAACTTCTTGCCCCATGTTATCATATTCTTTTACTAACGCACCGTTGTCTAATCTCTTTAAACCTTGACGAAAAATAAACATTTCGTAATTATATATTGCAAAAATATGTACGTATGTAATATATGACATTAAAGTTGGCATCATACCTTTGAGCATTAGAACGTGGGCAACAACTTCGACAACACCTGTAATAGTTCCATATCTTTTACTATAAGTATGTTCCAATTTATCGGCTTTCCTACGCCAATTTTCGAGCATTTCTATCTTATGTTCGACTTTGATAGTTTCTCCCGGTTGACTATTGAAATGAACATTTAATTCGTACTTAGAATGTGCATCAGATACAGCCTGTACCATGGCCTCTTGAAGAAAAGGCCAACCTAACAATAAATTTAGAATATTATCATCTATGCACGAGAACGAGATTAATCAAAGGAAAAAAAACGTACTGACAAATATTCTCTTGCCAACTATTTCCTTGGCTATATCTTCTGTTTTCATGCCTGCAAATTTATTAATTAGTGTGATAACCATCGTCTCATTCCTGACATAAAAAATTAAATTTTGTCAAGGATATATAAGCAACTTGCTTTTTTTACAAAAAAAAGGGAAAAAAAAAAGAAAAAAAAAAAAGAAAAACATACTTGCTCTCAGACTTAAAAATATTGACACCATGAATTTTAAGTGATCCTGTATGAGGAATAGTTTCTAATGATGGAAAACCAGCCATTGCTTTTGCACCCAGTTGAACGCCATCACATAATCCTTTAACAAGATTCACTCCATCAATGGTGGGGAGGAAATAAGTTTCCATACGACACTGACAATGGTGAATATCTAAAATAATGATTGAGTTGTAGGTGATATCATATAATTATAACCTTTTTAAGGTAATTGTATAAAATTTATCACGAAATACTTACCTGGAAAAAATCCCGGTAAAGAGGAAGGATACATCGCATTTAAACTAGAATCATATGTGAACATTATACTTTCTCCAAAGGTATTCCTCTGTCTCTCATCCTCGGTTAATTGATTTTCTCTGACTAATAGACACTATTGTATTAATAGGAATACGCTTATTCAACTCACACATGACTATAATCATTCAATTCTCACGATTTAATGCATCAACTAATTTCTCTTGATCAATAAAAGGAATCTTGACCACTGCCTCCCAATTTTGTTTTTTCCCGTTCAGATCAAGTTCAAAGTCAGTAGGATAAAATTCAAAGATCGGAGACGAAGGATCGGTCATAAGATCCTAAAAAACAATGATATTAGCTCCCAATATATGTGTTTAAATCGTAAAATTCTAATTTAAATTTAATGGTAAATACTTGATAAGCAGCTGGTATAATTTTTTTACTTCCTTCTGGTAAAACCCCCATTAATTGCTCAAACGGTCTAAATGGCTTTCCGTATTCATATTCTATATTAAACTTTTCCAAATCTTGCAAATCTAAATAATGTAAGAACAATGAGTTTGTGGTTGAAAGTTTGTGAGAAAGCTTCAATTGTAAGAATGAACGTACCTGAGATTTTTGGTGAATAGTGATAAGGGTAGAACCATCCCCAGGACGCGACGCCGCTATAATAATAGTGTAACACCCATTGCAACCCTTCTAAATATGCACAAACTAATTTATCCATTTGTTCCGGGTTATCAAAGTTGATGTTCATTTTTTCCCTATAATAATTTTTTTTCCATTCGAGAAAATTTTTATTCTCTCTTTCTTCAGATGTGTCAACATCCTTGACAATTTCTGCATCTCCATATTTCTCAAATACTTTTTCTCTTATCTCGATTATATCATCGGTTTCATCTTCCGACTCATATTGCACACATATATGTTTTTCTTCATCCACCGAATATTGAATATCCAATTCATTAGACAGATTCTTAATAAATTCACGATCTCGAGCTGGATATTCAGATGGAAAATGAATAGCCTCAGAATGAGTATCAATCATATCTTTTATTTGCTCGAAAATTTCTTTTTGTCTTGATGTCATTACTTGATAAAAAAGCACGATAAATAATGTGGACTTGTTAAATAAATTAATAGCCAATATATATCTTACTGTATATTTTAGAAACATTTAAATACCTAATTTCTTATTTTTCCTGTCTTTCTCGATCTGTTCTTGATACTTTTTCTGCTTTCCCTTGAACCATTTTGAATCAAAAGATTCTCCTTCAAAAGTTTCCTTTTCAAAAATAGTCAGTTCTTTAAAAATCAATTCTAATCTTCTCATATCCAACTTTCCACCATCATTTATGTAACCACCTGGATTTAAAGGCAAATACATAAACATGGTAAACACAATTTCAATCTGACATCAACTTCGTAACTTACCAGCAAGTGGTATTACTTCTTTGTATACACGAAACATCAATCCGAGTGCCCCCTCAGCAATATGTAAATTGGGCAAATGAGGTATAAAATCATTACCAACAAATAGCGCCAATAAAATAAAATCATCTATTATTCTTTCGAGATTGTATTCGAAGGGAAGGGATTCGCGAAGTGTGGAAAATTCAAGATCCAAATATTCGCGCAAGAGTGATAAATGCATGAGGTAGAAATTCTGCGATTCTATAGGTCTAATAAAGATGTGATGAATTGTTTGAGGCAATTTTTATTGGTTGCACCGACGAACTTTCGTGTTTATGACAATGCAAAACTAACCCACCCATGCTTCTTCTTTTTACTGCTGGGACCAAAAGTGACTTCCTCTCTAAGCAATGCAAAGTGAGGATCATGACTTAAGAGTCCCAACATGATCAAATCTGCATCCAACCCATATAAGCAATGTCTAACATTGGGGTTGTAGTCAGATTGTGCCTTTGCATTACGGATATATTCCATAATTTTGTGCTCGCCTTCACCCGGGACCTCATGTCCAGATAACACTATTTTTATGCCTCTCCAATTAGCGTCCTCGGTCACTTTTTTGTTTATGAAATATTTGAGTTGGAGGGATATCTTTGCCATGAATTCAGTACCTAATTGATGCGCGAAAATAAATTATAAATATACATTAGGAAATTCAACGTCATGTCGCGTGCAAATTAATTACCTGGAGTAATACAATTACTATCAAATGGTTCTTCCTGTGGTAATACATCGCCTTTTGATTCTGCCTTTCGGACGGCTTCTGCAGCATCTTTTGCAGTTCTAAACCGCCTGCAACGTTGTTGATTCATTTTAGCCCTGGGTGCAACTCCTGTAAATTTAGAATATATTGTAAATTGAAATGCCATGTCCTTAAGAAATTATAAATATATGTACCATCGACCGCCATAAAAAACAATTTTTTCGGCTTAATTTTTGTAAATAGATGATCAATATAGTTGAATATGCCGATGAAAATTTTTTCCTCCGAAATACGGTAGTGAGCATCCATATCATTAGGGTGGGAGCAATGATGAATGATGCCGTTCATGTCAAGATATAAATTATCTATCAATCAAGGAAAAGAAGGCATTAACTTCAGATAAGCGCTTACGCATACCTGCGATTCCTCATAGGCAGATTAACAATACGTGATTAAGCGAAAATGACAAGAGAATAAAACTAACCAAACTCTGGAATCCTGTGTATCCACGTATAAAAATTGATAATTGAAAATGCGATTAATTGGGTACTCGAACAGGTAGACTGAGTTTACTTTTAATTCTTGCCTGTTCTCCGTAATCAACTGACTACATAGCGGATACCTCTCACTTTTGATTCATATTAAAGGATTAAAGCAATACAGTTGGATATTAAGACGGTGTCAACAACTTTATGTGAAATGACTTCAAAATGTCAGTGTTTACCTCATCCATCGAAAAAACTTCGGAATTCCCATTTGCAAAGCGACTTCACAACAACAAATTTTACGAATCAGGCTTTAACCTGTACTTTTTACAGCTTCTCGAGCACTAAAACACCAATTCTCAAAACTCGATTAGAATCGACGACCTCTATAAGTTTATAAACGCATGTTATAGTTTTCTTAATATGCACACGTATAAAAAGTCACCTGATTAATCAATTCAATAATTAATGTTATTATTATTAACAACAGTTATGTCGCCTCTATGCGGCGATCTGTCAGGCGCATTTGCATTGAGATTTCCGCCATTATGATTAAAAGTTTCATATGGATGTGTTTAGTTCATACCCTCAAAATTATGTAATTATGCAAGAAAAGCAGCAATCGCAAAGTTCTTCTATTAAACATTTTGAGGTCCTTCTATTATGAAATTATAAGAAAAGGAACATATCTATCTCCTGATCAAT